TTGTGTTACTGTAGTGTTAATACTTAAAATTCAAGACGTGTTTACTAGACTGGATTGAATTACTGAATAATAATAAAACACCTGCAATAATTACCAAACCACTGATGGTCACGAGTCATATATTATCCCTTGACTTATACTGTTATGTAAGGTATATTTAAATTATGGTAATTATTGACGAAATACCTATTGTCGATTTTTCTTTTTGGAAGTTAATTTTAAAATGCCGCAATTTCACTATTTTCCTGTGGACACTGATGTAGTGAGGGCAAATGTGTTAAAACATGGTTTTGTAAATTAAACCTAACCTAACCATAGTTGATAAACACAAGAGGCCCAAGCATTGTTAGAAGACCGCACCAACCTAACGAAAGAAACCTATCTAACATTACCTAACTTCTAGCATATTAAACAAAGAACTTATTCTGATGTGTAAATTTTTTTTTTTTTTTTTTTTTTTTTTTTTTGTGAATGTGAGAGAAGCTGTTCAAACCAAGCAGCTCAACAAACACTGAGTAGAGGATAAAATCGTGCCTAAATGAAGCATTTTCCCATGAAGTGAATATCCTATCTGAACTTGGCTCTATAGTGAGACAAGATCTATGAAAACAAATTAGGCTATGATGGGTATGTTTTCAATATTAACCATACTGTCTTATGAGCTATGGTTAGATTATTCCTGACTATAGTTTTATCAGGTTTGGTAAGTAACAGTAATTTGATATACACACAGCAGGGAGTAGATGTGACCGGTTGTGGTAAGGTTTCTTTTACTAACACCAGAAGGATTTGATAGAATTGGAGGAAACTTTGGGGTAACATTAATTACAATCTATTAAATAAATATATGGAAACTAGAATCCATTGTCTCACTTATGTTTTAAGTTTTTTTGTTCCTGGTAAGTTAGGTTGGTTACTGTAGGTTAGGTTGGTTACTGTAGGTTAGGTTGGTTAGGTAGCTTACTGTAGGTGGCCCTCTTTTGAACATTTTCAACCAACTGACAGTTCCTAGCATATCTCGGGACCAGATGGGGTGACAGTACTCCAGATGGGGAAGCACTTCACTCCTGAAGATCATTACGAGGGACGGACCGTCTAGATATCTGAACGACCTTCTTATAAGACCCAATAACTTATTTGCCTGATTTACATTTTTCTCGCAATGGCCCGAGAATTTCAGCTCATTGTCAACATACACACCTAGGTCCTTCTCGCATTCAATCTCAAGTAATGCAGTTTCTTCATCCCGTTGGGACATGATACGCCTCCTTTCGTTGGTACGTCCCAGGTGCATCATCTTACTCTTCGTGACATTGAATCTCAGCAGCCATTTCTTTGACCATTCTTGGAGCCCACAGAGGTCCTTCTGCAGCTCTTCACAGTCTGTTTGGTTCTTGATTTCCCGAAATAACTTGGCGTCCTCGGCAAACATTTGTATGGAGGAGTGTACAACGTCAGGCATGTCATTTATGAAACAAACAAACAACAGCAGGCCCAATACACTGCCCTGTGGTACGGATGATGATTTCGTGCCATTAATCACCTGATACTGCTTGTTGTCATGTAGAAAGTCTTCTATCCACGCTAGGACATTTCCCCGAATTTCGTACCCTTCCAGTTTGATTTTCAGCCTTTCGTGGGGTACACTGTTGAAAGCCTTGGGAAAATCTAGGAAAATATTGTCAATATTACCACCCCGTTCCAGAATGTGTCCAAATATCCAATACCTTGAGCAATTGTGTTAAGCAGAAGTGCCCCGGCATAAACCTGTGTTGGCAATCCTTTACAAAGTTGTTTCGTAGTATATGTTCCATCGCGGCATCTCTGATAATACTCGCAAGTACTTTACATATTATGCTGGTCAGGCTCACCAGTATATAGTTGTTCGTGGAGTGACGATAGCCCTTCTTGAAGATAGGACTCGCATAAGCCACTTTCCATTCACTGGGGACCTTTTGTTCATCAAGACATTTACAAAACATGGTCTTCAGGGGCTTGGCAAGCTTGTTGCACAACTCTCTTAGCCTCGACTTTATTCCTGGTCAGAATCTGCGTAACTACCATCTTCAAGCTTCAGATCTGATACTCCTACTCGCGTTTTCAATTTTGACTTTGCATTGCGGTAAAATGCCTTTGGGTTTGACTCGGCCTTGCTTGCAACCAGCTTCTGGAACTCCTTTTCAGCCCTTGTACATTCTACCTTTGCATGGTGTCTGCCTCTTGCATACATCCTCCTGTCCTGCTCATCATTTGACCCAACCCACGTCTTGAATTTCTGGGTTTTCTTAACTTTGTCGACCGCCTCATGGTTCATATGTAGGGAACCCCTCGTATTTCTAGAGGCACTGGGTTTGGATAGGTTAGGCTTGGCCTTATCTTGAACTAGGTTACATTTAAATCTGAATGACAACACTATATGATGACTGGTGCCAACTGGGGCAAGCTGTTCCATTTTGGCCACCGTACCCTCCTCGTTTGTTATGATGTCTAATGGCTTGGGTGTTCACTCCCCTCTGTAATGTATCGGGTATGTAACATGTTGGAACAGAAAATTATCTCTCGGAGTTTCTACAAAAAGAGTAGCAGGGTTATTCAAGTCATTTGGAGTGAACTCGTTTCTCCACTCAATGTCGCCATAGTTAAAGTCCCCCATGATAAGGAGGTGGCTAGGGTTGAGCATCGTCACATTGTCTATTAAGGCTCTTAAATTCCTTTGATTTAGTGGGCCACAGTTTGGGGATCTATAGATACACCCAATGATAAGTAAGTCCCCTCCCTTTAATTTAATTTAATTTTACACCACTTTGACGCTTCAAAAACATCCTCTCCCTGTACCCTCGCCTGGCTGACTCTGGGGTCTTGCCTAGCATAGATAACCACACTCCTCTTGCAGGTTTCTTGAGAAAGGTTCGTAAATGGGTCGATTCTCTTGTTCTTGTACAACAGTTCTACAACTCCTACAATATCTGGTTGGTGTACCTTCAGTAGTGTTTCAAACTCCTTTCTCTTATCAAGGAACGTGTCAGTATTAGTGTACATGACATTCAAGCCAGAATTTGTTCTCGGTAACGTCTCTGCTCTTAGTAATAAACCCGCTCCACCCACATTCTCAGAAGCTGCAGCATTTGCTAAGTACACTGTATTTTGCAGGGTATGGTTAGAAATATCATTGTTTACTCGGCGCTCGCCTCCCTCCTGGTAGGCGGAGCTGGTGCCCCCTGGCCCTGTGTCGGCACACTTGCTTCCACTACCCTCTCCCTGAATATAACCCCGTTCCTCCTCGACTCCTCCCTTCTCTGCTTCAAGCCCTGCTGGAGCTTCTTGTGCTGTTCCCTCTGCATTACCGTGCGATCTGGGTGAATGAATACACTCCGAGATGCCTTGCTCCTTGCGAATTTTTTTGCCTGCCGAATAACCTCCCATTTCTCCTCCTCACTCACTAGTGTTATCATGAGGGGGCGAGGCTTATCCCCCTGCTTTTGTCCCAGCCTCCTCACATCCTGAGGGGTTGATGGCATCTTCAGAACCTCTGTACAAATATTCTTTCACTGCATCTTATCGTGTGTTTTCCTTGTCTCGGTTCTCTCCGCCTGGCTCTCAGGGACTCCAAAAAATAATACATTGTTCCTGCGCTGGAAATGTTCCCATTGTTCCTCCTCTCCCCTAACAGGAGGTTCGTTAATTGTCATTTCTACGACACACTTCTTCAGAGTCCCTAGCTGCTCTGCTAGTCAGGCCCCAGGGTTGATAGGGATGAGTGTACTTAGACAATGTCTAGAAGTTCTAGTGAAGGATTTTGGTCCCCAATATGTTGACTATAGTATTATAAAGGGAAACAGAATTTTTTGTAAGTGCTTCCAAGAGATTGAGAGCATCTACCGATGGCAGCAGAAAGACCAAGTGGGGTTTGCCTCCTCTACTAGGTGGAAACCAACAAGGATCCCCGCAAACTGTCGCCAGGCAGTCAGTATTTACATCCGAAGCTTACGGAGATGTCCCAAACTTGGAGTCTTGATTGAGCCAATGCAGGCGGGGGAAGGGTGGCTCCCTCCCAACCTCCTCCTTATCCCTTCATACACTACCATTAGGTATGATAAGGGGTTTGCCACCGTGGCCAATGTGGGTAATTCTTGCATGTGGCTAAAGCAAAACAGGCATGTTGGAGTGGCTCGTGTGGCTGATCTGTGTCCTCAACAAGAAACAGCAGAGGTGAGCTCAAACAGAGTTGAATGGGGGACAGAATGCCCAGCTGATGGGCAGATGCCAGAAGATCTAAGGCAAATAGGGCACACAAGAGAGACTTTGGAGTGTGTTGCGGAAGTACCGCGATGTATTTCTGGACAGCAAGGGAAGTTAGGATGCACTGGAATAGTCAAGCATAACATCCTTCTCGTAGATGAAACTCCCATTGGGCAGCCTTTCAGACGGGTTCTCCCCACTTAAATCCAAATGGTTAGGGACCATATCAACCAGCTGTTGGAGCAGGGGGTCATACAGAAAAGCACTAGTCCATACGCAGCCCCGATTATTCTGGTGAAGAAACGAGATGTCACTGCGTTTGTGTGTCGACTATAGGAAACTGAACAAAGCTATGCATAAGGATGATTTTCCACTCCCAAGAATTGATGAGTCATGAGTATTTATATAAACAGATGGTAAAGTAAAAAAAAATTAAAGGGCAATTTCTTTAATAAAAGTGAAAAGAAAAAATTACATAATAAAAGGTTCAGAGTTCTTACCTCATAGTTGTACAGTAAAAATGTTGCTTCGTGTATCTGCTAAAGGTTTTATGAAGTCAGAATTTTTACTACAACATAGGTATTGTGCAAAGGGTACTCTGGCGGTCGGCCCAGTCTCTTATTTCAATTAATCCCATATGTTCTGTTATTTTATTTTCGCGTTATTCGCGGACCTCCATGGGTTTAATTGATCCCGTAAACCCAGACTATACTGTATTGTCCTGAGGGCAAACCTGTACTGTACTCAAATGTACTGAATAATTACTAAAAAAATTTATGTCTAGTGCAAACTATAGTATGTTTATATAAAAAATTAATCACTAACTTACAAGGATTCCATCAATGTAAGTACATTCTGCTATGTCAATATCCCTAACATGTACCATTTCCATGCATTCTTGCGGGAAAACGGTGACGAAAAAACCCACGTTATATTGAGTCGTTGGGACATTAAACGAGTTATTCAAAGCCATAGGTCTACAATTTGCTTTCATTCATGGTTGTTAATACTGTGTGTTTTTTATTTTCAGGAAAGGCAACCATCAAAGAAATTGTAGTCTTAAAACAATTTTTTTGAGCAGGAACAAATAAGAATTTCTTGTGGTTGTATGTTTACACTCACGGCAATTATTGGCAAATGTCTGCAGCCAGACAAACACATCATCAGATACTACAACCTATCATTGCCTTAATGAAAAATTTGAAGATTTCAAATTACGCCATTAGGCAAAAGAAAAAGCAAGGAGGGTCACCAACCCCAGAGAAATGTGTGGTCTTTGAAGAACTTGGAGCTATTAATTTGGGTGAATATTTATATAAAGCAAAGGTGCTGTTACATACTGTATTAACTAAAAGAGCAATGCTGTGTACACAAACTGTTATTAAAAGTTCAAAAGAAGAGTTTGACTTGGAACAGTAAACTATTTGCTTTCATTCATGGTGTTTAATACTGTATGTTTCTTTTTTCTGGAGGAAATAGTAAGTGACATCTCGGCCTACAAGACGACGGGGTGTACAAGACGACGCCCAAAATTCCATTTAAAAGGTGAGTTTTGATCTCCTTCCCTGTATAAGACCGGTACCCCAAATGTGACACTTACCATTGGGAGCGTACTGACCCCGTAGTCCTTTACCAACCATCCCATTGACCAGTGCTGTTTACACATCTTTGGTTTTTTAAAATAAGGTCAATTCACTTCAAGTAATGGCATCAAATGTTACTGGTTGGTGTAGTGTAAACACTAGTGACGTCACTTAAGCTTCTGTTATTTAACTGGAACTAATGCTGGTGTCGAGTAAAAACTTTCCATTTACAGGTACTGTACATAAAACTATAATATAAAGCAATAGGGGTAAATGAGGTGGATTTTACTGGGTCATGTTGTGGATTAAACGATAAAATTATTCTTAATTTGAATGTTTGTTGTAAACCAAAGTGTTTCACAGAGGTTGTGGGGGCCCTGGTGGGTGCCCAGGGATACTGTCCTGGACCAAGTGGATATATCTTAAGCAACAGGTCAGTGGCTCACTTGTCATATGACTTGCCCTCAAAGAATTAGTTAAGGTTAGTCCACTTAATCATCCTTATTAAGTCTATTTAGCTTTGGTTGCAAATTTTGGTCATAAATGCTATAATATCTCCAGTAGCTGGAATTCTCCGATACCCGGAATAGAAATTTGTTCAGAAATTTCCGGATTATTCAAGGTCTAGATGTACAGCTAGACCCTGACTTACGACGGGGTTAGGGACCCAAATCCAGGTCGTAAGTCCGACGTAGATAAATAAAAAACATAAAAAAATTACAATGAAATATACAGTACAGTAAAAGTAATAAATAATGAGGAATGGATACAGTACAGTGAAAGTAATAAATAATGAGGAATGGATACAGTGTGACTGAGCACTTACCTTTAATGTAGTCAGTTGAATGCACATGGGGCCCCCATAATTTTCTAATTATACATGGAGACTACATTAACTGGAAACGTTTCGGTATAGAAAATGCGCGCGTCATTTGGAAAAAAAAATGGTCACAACTGCGGCGGTCGTAAGTCGGGGTCTAGCTGTACTGCCATTTAGTGCGGTCACTTAATTCTAGGTTTTTCTTAACTTAATTCTTAGCTTAAGGTTGTTGCCACCAGACCACAGGACAGTATGTTAAGTGTTCTTTAGGTAGCTGGCAGAGCAATCCGGGCACTGTGAGTTCATGTTATTCATTAATCAAGTTGAGAGTGGAAGGAAGGGTGAAACACCAACCAGTATCTTTATGACACTATTTTAGTTATTAAAAATATTGCATTGTCACAATGCAAAAATAGTTGACCTTCCACAAGCAATTATTAAGGTCACTGCACCACAAAAATACCTGACCTCCAAATAATTAAGGTCTTGTCTCTCCATACAAAATCATTGACCTCATTACCTAGCTCATTCCTTTCCAAATATCACCCAAAATAATCAATAATACCCAAATAATAAATATCCCCTGAATAAGGAGCATTCAATAATACACAATACATCAGGTACTGCAGCTCATTCTTAGCACCTGGGTACACACAGTATTTGTGTTGGTCCTTTTCTGTAGACACATATATCACATATATATATATATATATATATATATATATATATATATATATATATATATATATATAATGTGTGTGTGTAAATATATATATGGCAGGTTCATCACTGACTTCTGCCTTTTACATTTCACTTCACTAGCAATACTAGCGCAGTCTTTTAGGGTCCATTTCACACAGAAACATTAAAGCTTTGATAGTACAACACGAGGTGCTGTGTGGGGTGACTCTTGCTGCGGGAAAAGGCTTGTAAGCTAGCTACCATACAACGCGATTTGCTGTGTGGGGTGACTCTTGCTGCTGGAAAAGGCTTGCAAGCTAGCTACCAGAGGGACCATCTGCTTACCGTGAATTGCAAACCGCAAGGGTCTACTTTACATAATGAATATTAATTCTTTTTTTCTTTTGTTTCAGGTGGACTAAAATGCTTCCTCCCAAGGATTCAAAGTTCATTATAAATAATTCATTTACTTGGGTAGTGGAAAAGATTATTCTCTTTGTTTAGGAGACTACCTATTACATAACAGACAGTCCATCCCCTACCCAAACTATGGGTAATCTTTACAACCTATAAAGGGCCGTGACTTTTTTCATAAAACTCCTTTAATCGGCCTTCTCCTACAAGGAAAAGTGACCCTTTGGCATCATGGACTTCACGTAACGGCAGAGAAAATGTGCTGGTGGTGACAGATGTGTGTTCTGGGCATTCACCACACGGGATCAGAAGGTAACAACTGTAGCAAAGACCCTGGTTGATGAGATATTTACCAAATATGATGTTCCTAGGAAGATTCACACTTTACATAATGAATATTAATTCTTTCTTTTCTTTTGTTTCAGGTGGACTAAAAGGCTTCGTCTCTAGGATTCAAGGCTAATTATAGAAAATTTGTTTTACTTGATTAGGAGAAAAGATTATTCTTTGTTTGAAGTACCTACAGTCTACGTGGAAAAAAAATAAAATCATGGTAAGGCAATACAAAAATGAAAACACTCATCCACCCCTCTTAGTATTTGGTTGTTTCCCTTCCTCTTCAGCACCTCTTTCAGTTGTTGTGGAACACTGTCTGCAAGGTTTTGCAGGTGCTGTGGGGTGAAACTGGCCCACAGTTGCTCAATTGCTGTGGTGAGCTTCGGGACGGACGAGGTGTCGAGGTCACGTAGGTGACGTTTCATGAGTCCCCAAAGGTTCTCAATCGGGTTGATGTCGGGGGAATTGCCAGGCCAGTCCTTAAAATATGAAACCTGGCAATCCTATATGACTATGTACACCTGTGCAGTTATGAGTATTTATATAAACATGATAAAGTAAAGTAAAAAAAATTAAAGGGCAATTTCTTTAATAAAGGTGAAAAGAAAAAATTACATAAAAGGTTCAGAGTTCTTACCTCATAGTTGTACAGTAAAAATGTTGCTTCATGTATCTGCTAATGGTTTTATGAAGTCAGAATTTTTACTACAACATACTTATTCTGCTAAGGGTACTCTGGCAGCCCAGTCTCTATTTCAATTAATCCCATATGTTCTGTTATTTTATTTTCGCGTTATACGTGGACCTCCATGGGTTTAATTGACCGCGTAAACCCAGACTATACTGTATTGTACTCAAATGTACTGAATAATTACTAAAAAATTTGTCTAGTGCAAACTATAGTATGTTTATATAAAAAATTAATCACTAACTTACAAGGATTCCATCAATGTAAGTACATTCTGCTATGTCAATATCCCTAACATGTACCATTTCCATGCATTCTTGCGGGAAAACGGTGACGAAAAAACCCACGTTATATTGAGTCGTTGGGACATTAAACGAGTTATTCAAAGCCATAGGTCTACAATTTGCTTTCATTCATGGTTGTTAATACTGTGTGTTTTTTATTTTCAGGAAAGGCAACCATCAAAGAAATTGTAGTCTTAAAACAATTTTTTTGAGCAGGAACAAATAAGAATTTCTTGTGGTTGTATGTTTACACTCACGGCAATTATTGGCAAATGTCTGCAGCCAGACAAACACATCATCAGATACTACAACCTATCATTGCCTTAATGAAAAATTTGAAGATTTCAAATTACGCCATTAGGCAAAAGAAAAAGCAAGGAGGGTCACCAACCCCAGAGAAATGTGTGGTCGTTGAAGAACTTGGAGCTATTAATTTGGGTGAATATTTATATAAAGCAAAGGTGCTGTTACATACTGTATTAACTAAAAGAGCAATGCTGTGTACACAAACTGTTATTAAAAGTTCAATAAGAAGAGTTTGACTTGGAACAGTAAACTATTTGCTTTCATTCATGGTGTTTAATACTGTATGTTTCTTTTTTCTGGAGGAAATAGTAAGTGACATCTCGGCCTACAAGACGACGGGGTGTACAAGACGACGCCCAAAATTCCATTTAAAAGGTGAGTTTTGATCTCCTTCCCTGTATAAGACCGGTACCCCAAATGTGACACTTACCATTGGGAGCGTACTGACCCCGTAGTCCTTTACCAACCATCCCATTGACCAGTGCTGTTTACACATCTTTGGTTTTTTAAAATAAGTTCAATTCACTTCAAGTAATGGCATCAAATGTTACTGGTTGGTGTAGTGTAAACACTAGTGACGTCACTTAAGCTTCTGTTATTTAACTGGAACTAATGCTGGTGTCGAGTAAAAACTTTCCATTTACAGGTACTGTACATAAAACTATAATATAAAGCAATAGGGGTAAATGAGGTGGATTTTACTGGGTCATGTTGTGGATTAAACGATAAAATTATTCTTAATTTGAATGTTTGTTGTAAACCAAAGTGTTTCACAGAGGTTGTGGGGGCCCTGGTGGGTGCCCAGGGATACTGTCCTGGACCAAGTGGATATATCTTAAGCAACAGGTCAGTGGCTCACTTGTCATATGACTTGCCCTCAAAGAATTAGTTAAGGTTAGTCCACTTAATCATCCTTATTAAGTCTATTTAGCTTTGGTTGCAAATTTTGGTCATAAATGCTATAATATCTCCAGTAGCTGGAATTCTCCGATACCCGGAATAGAAATTTGTTCAGAAATTTCCGGATTATTCAAGGTCTAGATGTACAGCTAGACCCTGACTTACGACGGGGTTAGGGACCCAAATCCAGGTCGTAAGTCCGACGTAGATAAATAAAAAACATAAAAAAATTACAATGAAATATACAGTACAGTAAAAGTAATAAATAATGAGGAATGGATACAGTACAGTGAAAGTAATAAATAATGAGGAATGGATACAGTGTGACTGAGCACTTACCTTTAATGTAGTCAGTTGAATGCACATGGGGCCCCCATAATTTTCTAATTATACATGGAGACTACATTAACTGGAAACGTTTCGGTATAGAAAATGCGCGCGTCATTTGGAAAAAAAAATGGTCACAACTGCGGCGGTCGTAAGTCGGGGTCTAGCTGTACTGCCATTTAGTGCGGTCACTTAATTCTAGGTTTTTCTTAACTTAATTCTTAGCTTAAGGTTGTTGCCACCAGACCACAGGACAGTATGTTAAGTGTTCTTTAGGTAGCTGGCAGAGCAATCCGGGCACTGTGAGTTCATGTTATTCATTAATCAAGTTGAGAGTGGAAGGAAGGGTGAAACACCAACCAGTATCTTTATGACACTATTTTAGTTATTAAAAATATTGCATTGTCACAATGCAAAAATAGTTGACCTTCCACAAGCAATTATTAAGGTCACTGCACCACAAAAATACCTGACCTCCAAATAATTAAGGTCTTGTCTCTCCATACAAAATCATTGACCTCATTACCTAGCTCATTCCTTTCCAAATATCACCCAAAATAATCAATAATACCCAAATAATAAATATCCCCTGAATAAGGAGCATTCAATAATACACAATACATCAGGTACTGCAGCTCATTCTTAGCACACAGTATTTGTGTTGGTCCTTTTCTGTAGACACATATATCACAAATATATATATATATATATATATATATATATATATATATATATATATATATATATATATATATATATATATATATATATATATATATATAATGTGTGTAAAATATATATATAACAGGTTCATCATGACTTCTGCCTTTTTACATTTCACTTCACTAGCAATATAGCATGAGTCTTTAGGGTCCATTTCACACAAAACATTAAAGCTTTGATAGTACAACACAGTGCTGTGTGGGGTGACTCTTTATGAGGAAAAGGCATAAGCTAGCTACCATACCATAGCGATTTGCTGTGTGGGGTGACTCTTGCTGCTGGAAAAGAGCTTGCAAGCCCCTTCTAGCTACCAGAGGGACCATCTGCTAGTGATTGCAAACCGCAAGGGTCTACTTTACATAATGAATAATTCTTTTTTTCTTTTGTTTCAGGTGGACTAAATGCTTCACTCCCAAGGATTCAAGTTCATTATAAATAATTCATTTACTTGGGTGAGTGGAAAAATTTATTCTCTTTGTTTAGGAGACTACTATTACATAACAGACAGTCCATCCCTACCCAAACTATGGGTAATCTTTACAACCTATAAAGGGCAAGTGACTTTTTTCATAAAACTCTTTAATCGGCCTTCTCCTACAAGGAAAAATGACCCTTTTGGCATCATGGACTTGCATGCTTGGCAGAAAATGTGCTGGTGGTGACAGATGTGTGTTCTGGGCATTCACCACAGGATCAGAAGGTAACAACTGTAGCAAAGACCTGGTTGATGAGATGTTACCAAATATGATGTTCCTAGGAAGATTCACACTTTACATAATGAATATTAATTCTTTCTTTTCTTTTGTTTCAGGTATGGATGAGGCTTCGTCTCTAGGATTCAAGGCTAATTGTAGAAAATTTGTTTTACTTGATTAGGAAAGGTATTCTTTGTTTGAAGTACCTACAGTCTACGTGGAAAAAAACCGATCATGAGTAGACAATACAAAAATGAAAACACTCATCCACCCCCTCTTAGTATTTGGTTGTTTCTCTTTGCTTTTCTTTCAGTTGTTGTGGAACACTGTCTGCAAGGTTTGCAGGTGCTGTCTTGATGAAACAGCCCCAGTTGCTCCAGGTGCTGTGGTGAGCCGGAGACCCGGACGAGTGTCAAGATCCGTGAGTGGCGTTCATGAGTCCCCAAGGTTCTCATCGGGTTGATGTGGAAATTGCCAGGGCAGTCCTTGACAGAAACCTGGCAATCCTATATGACTATGTACCTGTGCAGTTATGAGTATTTTATATAAACATGATAAAGTAAAGTAAAAAAAATTGAGAAACAATTTCTTTAATAAAGGTGAAAAAAAAATTATAAAGGTTCAGTTCTTACCTCGCAGTTTGTACAGTAAAAATGTTGCTTCATATCTGCTAATGGTTTTTCGCTAAGTCAAATTTTACTAACATACTTATTCTGCTGGTACTCTGGCGGCCAGTCTCAATTTAAATTAATCATATGTTCTGTTATTTTTATTTTTAGCGTTATCATTGGACCTCCATGGGTTTTTAATTGACGGCGTAAACCAAACACTGTATTGTGCTCAAATGTACTAGACAAAATTACTAAAAATTTTGTATAGTGCAAACTATAGTATGTTTTATATAAAAATTAGTACTAACACAAGGATTCCATCAATGTAAGTACATTCTTATATGTCAATATCCTAGCATGTACCATTCCATGCATTCTTCTTGATGACAAACCCACGTTATATTGAGTTGTTGGGACGATACTTGAGTTATTCAAAATATGGGTCTAATTGCTTTTCATTCATGGTTGTTAATACTGTGTGTTTTTATTTTCAGGAAAGGCAATAGCCATCAAAAGAAATTGTAGTCTTAAAAACAATTTTTTGACAGGGGCTAAATAAATTTCTTGTGGTTGGGCCTCCAGGCAGGTGTACAAGATGACTCCCAAATTAATTTTGATCTCTACCAATGTATGTTTGTATGTATGTATATTGTATGTATGCATATATATGCATATATATAATATATATATATATATATATATATATATATATATATATATATATATATATATATATACAATATATATATACATATATATATATAACATAAAAAATATATAAATATATATATACATATAAATATATATATACTGTAAAAAAATATATATATATAAAAAAATATATAAATATATATATATATATAATATATATACAAAATATATAATAATATATATATATCGTATATAAATATATATATACATATATATATATAAATGTATATAATATATATATAAATATATATACTTATATAAATATATATATATATATAAATATATATATATAATATAAAAAAAAAAAAAAAATATATATGCATATATATATATATATATATTATATATATATATATATATATATATATATATATATATATATATATATATATATATATATATATATATATATATATATATATATATATACACATATAAATATATATATAACGTTTGCACAGTAGGCTCTCGCCAATAACGTTTAATAGGTGGCTGAAAAACGACGTTATTAGCGAAAACGTTATTTGTGACATTAAAATACATGTAAAAAGGGTTTATTGGTGCCGCTGCCCCTGGAATTTCACCCAGTTTTTCCCCTTAGAAGCCCTCCTAACACTTTTTGTTTGCTGAAATAAAAAGAATTGTTATTCAATCATCAAAATAAAGAGTTCGGGTAATATAACACATTGTTTGGGGGAGTTTTTGAGGTGCTTGGTGTGATGATTGTTCTGTATCTGAGGGCCGCTAAGACTTACACTGTCTTTCATTCTACATTTCACAAGAAAATGCTCTTATCACTATCAATCCGTTTCTATCACTTTTATCATTCATAGCTCACTTCGCATTTCCATCACTACTGAAATATGTCTTGGCCAGCTCAATACTCTTTTTGGTCTCCTCTAAGTTCCTCTTAATAATTTGTACTGTAGACTCGGCAGTTTAATTTCCTCACAATATCAATGTTCCGTGCACCACTTTCAATGAGCTCGACAATCTGTTCTATATCCTCCACCGAGTAGGCACGCGTCTTGTGGCTTTGTCTTAGCTTTGGGGTCTTTTTTCTCATTCACTTTCAAAGTTCCCGGGCATTCAGGCGGCAAATCACTCCCTCCACCACCTCCCCTAACCCCCACAGGCAAAAATGCAGGAGCAATTGTTGATGACATACCCTAGTAACCACTGGATATAGAGGCGAAAATCTCACACGTGGGCGCAGCGCTGTATTCCATGGAGCGTGTGTGAGAGTGAGGCGGAGCGGACAACTACGTCATCAACATGGCGGCAAACAAACGCTATCATTGATGAGCACGGCCGCTTCCCGCAAAATCTCCGTTTTTCATGAGAATCTAGACGTTATTATCGAAAATTGGTATCTATTGTAACTTACCGTTATTGTCGAAAACATTATTGTGGAAGTCGTTATTGAGGAGAGCCTACTGTATTTGTTCTGGAACTAGTAAGTGGCTGGGCTGAAGTAAACTCTTTGTTGGTTTCTCTTTATTGTAGAAAAATATAGTATCACAGGTACTGAATTCAGTTGAGAGTATATTGTACCTTCTCTGCTAAGGGAATTCTCTTAGTGCATTTATATAGGAGAACATTCAAGTGAGGTGTTTACTGGGTAACAAGTGATACGAGTCTCCCCGCTCTCTCCTGCTCAGGCATGAGGCGCAAGGAGGAGCGGGTGAGGTATTAGCAAAATCAGCTTGACCTGTGGCTCAGATGAAGTTACAGACCTCAGCATGTTGTATGACATGAACAACTACTGAGTCATGGTTGAATAACAGTTAATTTTTATTGGGTGTACTCCTGTGCAGTCATGAGTATTTATATAAACATGATAATGTAAAGTAAACAAAAATTTTAAAGGGCAATTTCTTTAATAAAAGTGAAAAGAAAAAATTACATAATAAAAGTTTCAGTTCTTACCCCATAGTTGTACAGTAAAAATGTTGCTTCATGTATCTGCTGAAGGTTTTATAAAGTCAGAATTGGGCCAAATTCATATCTTAACCATTCGCTCAGTTGTCACACCTATCATTAGTATACAGTTCTTTCTGTAATACTGATGTGCATAAATGAAAAATAAATTTACAGTTAAAAAGTGATATCTCCATTAGCCGGAACATTTGGTGCAGAACACTTCCGGTAACGAGAGAT